GAATACTTCTAAATTATCGGGATTGTGCATTAAAACAGATCTACAATCTTTGAACATAATCATCATTGTGACATAATAACAAACATAAACACCACATAAAAGAGATTGTGTCGGCTGTCTACAAAAACGTGTTGCAGTGTAAATATTAAATTCATTATAACCGAGAGTATTAAATATATCTTTTAAATATGACACATAATCAATGTCGTGATAATTTTCCAATGGGTTAAATATTATGCCTATTTTTTCTTGACTGTCAACAACAGCTAAAACAAAATGTGTATATTGTAAAATAGGAATAAAAGTAAGCCTAAAACTCAAAATATTATTTTTGATAATCGATGTCAAATTTTGTCCACCATGGTTCATCTTTAGAAGAAATGCATTGACTGATGAAACATAATAATAACCATCACCGCTTTGATTTGAAATAAAATTGTTTATAGTTTCTTCAGTCATCCCCTCGTAATTCATTGTCAAGTTTTTTAGTTGAAAACTGATGTTTTTAGATTAATTACTAAAAACATTCTAATTTATATTCATTTTTGTCGTGTAACCAGCAATTTATGTTTATGATATCCACAATTAAAAAGATAAGTATAATTTACATAGTTATTAAAAATAATTATGTTTTTAAAATGTAAAAATATTATTTTACTTAAAAATGCATTTCTGTTTGGAAAATAATCAAATACATATTAATTAAAATATGATATTTTTACCATAACAAATATTTTTTAATGTTATTATTAATTGAATTGTCACATATTTATATTTAAAATTTACACGTTTGTGTTGTAAAAAATGCATTACTTAGTCATGCATACCAAGCTTACAAGGGCTAATACCTTTTTATTTCTTATTAGTATTCTAAATCTCATTTAAATAATAAATACGTTATTCTGGTTTTTAACTATTTTATTATTTAACCTCTTTTTTTAATTTCAAAAACTTGTTTGTCTGTCTGTTTGTTTATACAATTACTATTTAAAACAATAATTAATTCATCAAAAAAGAGGTAATTTATTTAAAATTTTATCTTTTCTTAAGGAACTAAACTTGAATAAAACGATAGTTAGTAAAAATTAACTATCGTTCGTATTGAAAAATCATCACAATTTATTATTAAGATTAGTAAAAACAATTATATTTATAGTATATTGCTTATTAATAAAATACTATTAAGAAGCGCAAGAATAACGTACAACTGAAATAAATAAATAAATAAATATATGCGTTAGACAAACATATATACAGGTGAGGTACTAACCTGTCAGCCATTTTCCTTTAGGAAGCCTAAAACCCGGATTAGTACGTTTTTTATGGCATTTGTTTTTTGAGATTTCATCTCAAAAATGAAACCTGTCAGCTTTTTTGGTATTTTTGGTATTTTTGGGTTTTGTAAAAAAGAAAAACGATGAGAGTAAAAGACATCTTAATTGTGATGTTCTTCATCAACGCCTTAATCATCGAGGACCAGCCTCAGCTGAAGCTGATGGGTGGGATGCTGGGACAACATTCCGCCACGCTGTTGCAATTCACTATGTGGGAAGAATTGAGGAGAAAAAAGGTTTGTCTTCTTTGAGAATACCCCAGTGTTTCGAATGGGGTTCCGAGTGTCACATAATTAACAGCGAAGGTGGGTTGGAAACTGGGGGTTCCAGAACCGTCAGGTTGAAAAGAATCCAACCGGGGCAGTCGCAATTCTACTTGTTGAGTATTATGGATGGAAGTCTCTTGACCGGCGTTGGAAATGCTGTTGGTGTCCATTCTTATGTTATTGCTTGGAGCTCTTCCTCTACGACTTGTTCTTCTTCCTCTTTGCTCGTTTTGTTGGGAACTTCCTGGGATGTTTTGAATTAGGGTTATGGGGCAATCGGGTTGAACCACTGTTACATTAACACCATCCATCCTTTCGAACCACCTCCTTGAAAACGTGATATCGTCACCATGCTTGCTGGAAACAAAGTATCTCCTTTTGTCTTGATCCAGATAAAACTTAACTGGTTTCAAAGACTTCTCACTTGGGTTGTATCTTTCTTTAAACTCTGTCAGTTTCTGGATCTCGTTCTGTATCAGGATTACACTCTGTCTCATTCTTCGGAACAACAAATGTTCTCTATTGCTTCGACACCTTTTGTGATCGTAGCAACCAGAGTCGACAAAAGGTTGGGAACTTCAACAACCTTTTCATCGACAGTCCCAATGAGAACGGGTTCATTCGGAATTTCCGACATTTTCAGAATGTCCGTTCTTGTCGCGATGGAAGTATATTCTTTTACAAACCGCGCAGCTCGATTCGGGTCAATTCTTATTCGTTTGATACCATCTACCTCTCTGACGACAATCCCACTTCTCTCAAATGAAGCCACCACCGTTCCGATGGTTGAGCGATCACTCAGAGTCTTGAGAAGTGAGGAGATTTTGAGGCTGATTTGCCTTCCGTTTGGAGATCTTTTGTTTCCATAAAGGACTTTGTTGATTGCTTCATCTTCCATTGCAAACGACTTCATAATCTCTACGTCCTCTGGATCTTCGATGAATTCATTGAAGGCGTCGTTGACTTCCTGGTCGGACTCATCTTCTTGTTCAACTTCTGAAAACATAGTGGTGATTTCTTTGGTGGGAGCGCTCTTTCGAACAAGTGACTTTGCTGCGTTTGAGTGTTTTTTGACTGCTCCAAACAAACACAGATCGAGTGGTTGAGTGAGGTGACTTGAATGGGGGCAGTATGTGTGCAATTTGATCTGGTTTGCTTCGAGCCATCCAAGAAGCTCCTCGTCAAGATGTCCCGAAAAGTTGTCCATTGTGATAAGTCCCCAACTACCAACAAGACCAAGTTCTGTTCTCTTTTTGACGATCACTTTGATGATCTGCGCCATCCAATGCTTGAAGATATATTTGTTGACGAATCCGTTGTTTGTGTAATAGACGAAACAGTCGGGGAACTTCTCTTTGGCTTCGCAAAAGAACTGTTTTTGGTTGATGACAATGCCGAAAGGCAACGTTGTTCCATCCGCACAAATTCCAACTATCGCTGTGGAATGTTTACTTGACCTGCTACAACCGTGCTTTGGGGTTGTCTTGTCCTCATTACTCTGGAAGATGTATAGATTCTTTCTGTCTGCCCAATCGTTGCTTCCCATTTCATCGATGTTTACACATAGGGCTGCTGGTATATTGTCAAACTTTTTGAGCTCTTTGAAGTTATCAACAATGTTCTCTGGATTGATGGAGATTCTGTCTAGATCTTCTGCGGTTGCTTTCTTGAGACCAATCTTCAACTTCTTCATGTGTTTAATGAGACCCGTCGCGATATTTCAATGTCGGGTACTTTTTGACTCAGGTACCGAAGAATTCCAGTGACAGTACACGCAATTCCCTTTCGTTTACAAGTGACAAGCCACTTGTCGATTTTGTTATCAACATCTTTGGAGATTTTTGGAGGTTTGCCGTTCTTCAATTCTCCGATTTTTCTTCTGGTGTTGGTGTCTATCGTGGATTTTGAAACACCATAAAGCATCTGGATAGTTCTTGTTGAGTGATGAAGTTTGTAATGCAAATAATGGATTTGTTCACGCATGGAAGTCTCCTTCAAAAATGTCTCATCCTGCCAAGCTTGTTCAAGAGCCTGTTCAACAAGAAGAAGTCTCTTTGGAGAGATACCATTCTCTTTTGATTTCTGGACATTTTGACGCATGTTGTTTTGTGAAAGAGAAAGTTTCTTCAACTGTTTTGTTTCTTTTGTCTTTTTTGGAATTTCAGTGTTGTGATCAGCGACAACGCGATTTTGAGGATTGGGGAAGCAGGACATCAGATTCAGTGATGAAAAACTTGGCAACATGAAAAGGATGTTTAAAGTTATGAACGATTTAAAACCTAAAAGAAAATTGTTTAAATGAAAATAATGGATTGTTTTGTGCAAAAATTGGGTTTTGGGGGATTTGAATATCTTCCACTTTAACTTTTTGGTAAAGACTTTGAAATTGATTCAATACGAGAAGACATTTTCTAAAAAAATCAAGAAAATATAACCAAGTAAAAAAGAAAATGTTTTATAAAGCGATGACTCTTTTTGGTGAAATGAGGACAAATTTTGGAAATTTTTGAAATTTTTTTCGGCTTTTTTTTCGTTTTTGAAATTCGAAGAAAACATCTCATTTGTTCATTGCTTTTTGTTATTGATTTTGTTGAACTTGAATAATCTAAAAAAGACAAATTAATGGTTAAAATACCATAAATTGAATTTAAAAAATGGCTGACAGGTTAGTTCCGGTTGACAGGTTATTACTCCAACTGTATGTAGATGTAGAAAATGTAGATATGTAGATGTAGATATAGTACAGTTTTGTATTTTACATTTGCCCTGTGAAGTTTATTTTTGATGAAATGGTAATTTTAACTACACGTTATATTAATAAGATATTAATATAAACCATTTAAAATTGAATAAGTCTGTTAATAAAAATCAATTAATTTCCAAAAAAAAGATGGAAGGATATTTTGTACTTTCTCTGTAGTTAAATATATTATATAGAAAAAAGAAACAATAGTAAATTAATATAATAATAAACTATTAAATTATTAATAAATTGAGAAATATAAATAACTAAAACTTTTAAATTTGAAAAACCGAAATAATTTTTTGAGTATTTTTAACTGATATTACGAAAACTAATAAAAAGAATTAAAAGAAATACTAACAAGTAATGAATAATTTGTTCAACTCACAAATAACCGAAATTATAAGATGTGTACTAAAAAATGAGCTAATTAGATGAGTAAAGTACAAGGTCTACTTCAATGGTGTCAATGTGCGACTAAAGGATATGAAGGAGTGAATGTGACGAACTTCACGACATCATGGAAGGATGGGAAAGCGTTTTGTGCACTGTTTCACTACTACCATCCCGAAGTCATTGATTTTGAGAAAACCAAAACACAAGACTCCCACCAGAATTTAGAAATGGCTTTTGCTGCTGGGGACAAACTTGGTGTTCCACGAATGATGGATGTCGAAGACTTCGACGTCGATGTTCCTGATAAATTGAGTGTAGTCACATGTATCGGTGTTATTCAACCTTATATCGACTCTCAAGCACCTCCAACGACTGACGAGCAACCACAAAAGTCTCCATCACCACAAAACAGTATGTTTTCTCTTCAAGTTGAACAAGTTACTATTTTTTTAATAATAATATAATATTTATATAATAGTACTATTAAAACTAGTAAGAATAATATATTAATAGATATTAATAGATATTAATAGATAGAACAATACCAACTGTATTCGTCCCAAGGTGCACCAAAAAGAAGAGCTACAGTGGCTTCAGCTGCTGAGGCGATTCGAAAGGCTAAAACTGTAATGACGTGTGAAGCGTGCAACAAACCTATTATAGGGTCTGCCCCCCTTGAAATTAAAGGAAAGAAGTACCACACCCACTGCTTCAACTGTAAAAAGTGTGGGAAACGCCTTGAAGAGAAGTCGTTTGTTACTATTGATATGTCCAATTACTGTCTTGAATGTGGTAAAATAGTGTTCTTTGAAAATAAGAAGCGTAAGGCTGCGTTGTTGGCGAGTGCGTCACCCACTGCGTCGTCTCCAAAACCAGAAAAGCCGGAAGAAGTCGAGTCACCAAAGCCAAAGCCCGAGTTGACAACACCGGAGCCGATTGTTTCAGACGTGAAAGAAGAAGTCAGTGCAGTGAAGAGTGCAAATGAAGTACCAAAGGACAAACCTGTAGTACAAGAGAAGCAAATTCAACACGAAAAAGAGGCGGAAAAATCGCCCAAGTTATCACCCCTCTTTAAAACACCATCCCCCACTCTTAATACTCAAGTGGTCGAAGCTCCTCTTAAAAGTCCCTCTCCAAAAGTTGTCCCAGAGAAAAGTGTCTCACCAAAAGTCACTGAAAAACAACAGGAAACAGTTGTCTCCCCGGGTAGAATTCCATCACCAAAGGTCGAAGCTTTAAAAGCGAACTTCCAATCGAAGAGTCCTGTGAACAAAATATTGGGAGTGAGCGCCCCACTCATGGAAAAGGCTAAGGAAGTGTCACAGCCAAAAGAAACGTGGAAACAGAAGAGTGAGCGCCTTGCACGGGAGAAGCAAGAAAAGGAGAAACAAGAGCAACTTGCACGAGACGAGAAGATGAAGAAACTGTTTGGGAGTAAAGCGTCTGTTGGAAGCAAACCACAAGGACAAGTGGTGGTACCGATGAATGGAACAAGTCCACGATCGAGTTTACAGAACTTAGGAACTACAGGACAACCGAAACCAATAGAAATGAATCAAGAAAAAAGAAAGTCATTTGATGTGAGTGAGAAGAGTAAGGGAACTACTACGGTCTTACCAACTCCAATCAATGAGAAATCAAATAAAGAAGAAAAACTTAACGCTAAAACTATTAATTTGGCTAAAAAATTGAACGGAGCTACTACTATTAAAAACGTAGTGGAAAATATCACTGCAACGTACTCACCATCAAAAAGCCCTAATAACTTCATTGACGTCGAAGGAGACTGGGTCCCTCATAACGTCGAGAGAAAAGCTCAAGCACCCATCCCACAACAGAAAATACTCGGAGACGCTGAAGAACAAAAACAAACAAATGTCATCAAAATCGATATGCCAAAACCTATTCTGGCAACTTGGCAATTCTATGTTGGGATGTTGTCAGTCATTGTCGCTGCAATGGCGGTCGGATATGTCCTTTTTAAAAACTGAGTCGTTCTTCTTCTTTGTTTTATAATAAAATAAACTATTTATAGTAATACAATCAGAGTGTAATAAAGTTCTAATAAACTAATTAAAATAGTATAAGATAATAATAAACTAAATGTGTATTATAAATGAATTAATAGAATATTATAATATTGGAGTAGTATCATTTTTATTAATAAGTAATAGTTAATAGGTAATAATTCCATCTTAAGTTTTTGAAAAGTTAAAACACTCTCAAAGTGTTGTATTGAGTGGTGTTTCACCCATCAGTTTTTTTTCTAATTGGTTTTATTGTTAAATAAGTTAAAACTTATTAAAAATAGTTAAACTGCAAAATGTTTTTGAATAATTCTTTGTCGCTTTTATAAAATTGTTTTACAACAACTTTTTGAATGCTTTATTTTAATTAGATCTTCTATTAAAAAAAACGATAAAAAATAAATCATTATTTAATAATTTTTAACTATTTTTCATAAACATCAGAATTGAATGACAGATTTAGATTGTCGTTGTTTTTATTTAATTGTTTCAAATAATTTTTTTATTAAATTTTATAATAAAATTGTTATTATATTATAGTTAATTTTTATGTAGTTTTTAAAATGATTTTTTTAAAAGTGTTTTTATAATGAAGTGTTAAACATTTAATAAAAATACTAAAAAATATGAAATTATTTTAATAATATTAATAGTAAATATAATTAATAAAACCAATAATAATTACAATTCATTTATAAAGTAATTTTTTATAAATTTTTTGGGAATTAAAAACCACTTTTGTATCAATTACAATCAACAAAAGACAATAAGATAATTCAAAGTGGCAATTGATTGTAGTATTCATATTCTCTGCTTAAAATAGGATTTTGAAAGAGCTTTTCAAATATTTTTAAACAAATAATTTATAACTTCTTTATCACATGTTTATAGCTTTCTTTATATCATTAGCTATTTCGCAATGCACAGTTCAACTTTGTGATTACGCGTCGGGTATTGCACAAATGAAGACTGAAAAGATATCAAAAGTCGATGCTCTAAACATATTAAATAAAGTGGATGAGTATTTAGGGGCTTATGCTTTTAGAGATATTGCCAAAAATCCACCACAGCCGTCGGGACATGACGGGTATTTTCCACCATATGATATGGATGCTGGAATTGCAGAGATCCAGACTTACTTGGATTCACAAACAGACTCTGTAAGCTTCCACGACTTCTATGTCAAGTTGATTAGACTAATGGGAGGGCCTCGTGATTTACACTTGAGTATTTCTATGGATTCCAATGTCAAACATTTAGTTGCAGATTACTTTGTGGTGAACCCAATACAATTTAGTCTGAAAGGTACAAAAGTCTATTTTAGTGTCCCGTCGACTATTTTAGGTGTAGATCCTGAAATTATTTTTGGAGGAAGTTTAATATCAGATTTAAGAGCAAAAGCATATAATGGGGATGAAGTGATAACAATTAATGATATCAACGCAACTCAATTTATTCGAGACTACGCTTACAAATACTTTCTACTCAAAAATGAGAACGGAGCAGTCACTTATTTCCAATCTGCATTTGTCTTGCATGCATACTCTGATGTTCCTATTGATACAGCAGACACAACTTTTAAATTGAGTTTTTCTGATAACACTGAGGTGTCTTTTAATTCATACTTTTTCAATGAAGGAGGGAAAAATGCCAAAAGTCCATTTACAACCGCTATTGAGACAATCAAAAAATTCAAGAAAGGAGTTGAAGAGAGAAAGAAGAAAGATGCGAGTCGATTTGAATTTAAAACACTTGAACCAATTACTAACAAATTGTTTCAGCCCAAATTGAAGGGAGCAAATTTGTATACACATTCACTCACTGATGTGATTTCATGTGGAAAGCGCAATGTAAGTGGCAAAGACATGAATATACTGACAGTCAATTCTTTCTCTCCAGACAATTATACGGACTTCTTCACTTACGCCAAATTGTGTGGAGAATTGTTTGATACTAATACAGACCCGATTGTCGTCTTCTTACCTTTAAATGGAGGAGGTTATGTCGATGCAGAAGTTTATTTATACAACTTACTCTCACCTAACACTGATTATAATAAAAGAAGTGTAGCTCGTATCAATTCATCCACAGAGAAGGTACTCAGAAACGGCTTTGGATTTGATTTAATTGATCCAACAACAGGTACTCCATATTGGACGGAATCAGACTCAACACATGTTGGGGCTATGGGAAGTTGGTATGACACTCCACAAACTGAGATGTATGGAAGTGTTAATTTCACACATACTATTCCTTCTTATTTGGACTCAACCAACGAGAGATATGAAACTAAAAACATCAGAAAACCAAATGAAATTGTGGTCTTTTCAGACCATTATTGCTTCTCAGCTTGTTCACTACTTACTAAACACTTGGTCGATAAAAAAGCTGCAATTTTGGTCACGTACGCTGGTTTACCTTATTCGAAGTACAGAACAGTTGGAGAGAGTCCAACTGCAGTTATCGAAGATAAACAAATTCATAACGGGCAGGAAACAGTGTTGAGTAGTAAAGGACTAACTATGGGAATATCTTTCTTCCCCACTTTACCATTAAACAAAGACGATATGATCCCAAATGAGTATAAAGTGCACGAACCAGATGAATATGTACCTCTTGAGACATTCAGCGAAGACGAAACGACTGTTGATGCGTTTTTGGAGCAAGCAATTTTGATCATGAAAAAGCACTCAGAAAATTGCGAAGAAGGAAGTGTAGTGAAAGAATCAAAATGCACACAAAATAGTGTTTCAGAGATATGGGGAACTAAATGTGTCAATGGAATTTACTCATTAGATAATTGTGTTTTTGTGGAGTGCAACAGTGGGTATAAAAGTGACGGGCAAACGTGTGTTAAAAATGATACATCGGAGTGTAAGTCGGGTGAAGTTAGTGTCGACAAGTTATGTTCAGAAACGACCGAATCAGAGCTATGGGGAGCGACTTGTGTTAATGGCAAGTTTGATACTACCAAATGTCAGTTTGTCAAGTGTCAGTCTGGATTTACTCAGACCACAGAGAACAAGTGTGTTAAAGATGAAAAATGTGTAGATGGAACTATTCTTCAAAGTGATAAATGTAAAAATATGAAAGAAGGAGAGATATGGAGTGCGACGTGTGTGGATGGTGTTTTTGATTATGAACATTGTGAGTTTGTCGGGTGTAAAGATGGGTATAAAAAAGAAGATACTGGATTTTGTGTGAAAGATCACAATGAAAATGTCGACTCAGATACATCCCATTTGAGTTTTATTGTTGTGTTTAGCGTGTTGATGATCTTCTTAATATAATCAAATCCACTTTATTAATTTACTTTTAAACTATTTGTTTATTTCATACAATAAGTTATATGTATGAATTAATAGTTTGAGGTTTTATTTCCTCAAACTATTAATGAACGACTTATTTCTGGATATAGATAATCGATCTTCAATTTGAAAAATACGAAAAAGTATAACTTAAAAAGTCCACAATGTCCAAAAATATAACCATCACTTTTTGTGTGAATTATGTCACATACTATGGTCAAAATATCATCATAACATTGATTTCCAATGAAAGTGAAGACTCACATGTCATGGAATGGACTGAAGGACATAATTGGATATTCAAATATACAATTCCACATCCACAAGAGTTAAAATGGTTTTACTCAGTAACTGATAATTTGCAAGCACCACTTCAAGAGCAATTGAGTAGTCCAAGAACGTGTTATTTTATACAAGACACGTTGTCTAATGATAGTTGGGGTATACAATATACTGAGACTGAATCACTCTTAAAAAACTCTTTTGTGCTTGACCCCCTTATCACTGCACTCTCCAAGTTCACATCACTCCAAATATCGTCAGTCGTTTTTGACTCGGACATCCACAAAATTGAAAACATTTTTGAAGTCTCAAAATACAAGAAAAATATCATTCTTCTTGTCGTTTGTGATAACCAAAAGATATTTGGATTGTTTGCTTCAGAGGAGCAACAAGACGAGAAATGTTTTAAAGCAATTGGAAACAATTCATTCTTCTTCTGGTTGTTCCCAATACAAAGAAAAGTTGATAACAAAAAGCATTTCATCGAGTTTAAAAACGACGACACGGTAATTCTTAAAAATTGTTGTGTTGATGTGGACAAAGACAACCAACAAGATGTCATAACTGATGAATACAAGGCAAATAGAGTGTTACTTTTACAATTGATGTAATTTTCATTAGTTCTTTTCTTATTCTTTTATAATTGAATCATGTCTAGTAAATTTATTAATTAAATATTAATAATTTTAAATTCTATTTTTATTTTACTTTGAAAACTATAATGAAACCATAAAATATAATTTACGTTATAATTAAGTGATAATAAAATAAATTACTATATTTCTAGAAACAATTTTTTTCTTATTTTTTTAAACAAGAATTTAAAATAGAAGTACTATAATAAATAATAACAATAAATTAATACAATAGAAAATGTTATCTTTCGATCCCGACATTTTGAGATAAAAAGTCATCACTCCTTCCGTCCCCATTTCAATGAGAATGAAAATGATTCACAAAAGTAGCGTATATTTCACTCGTCATCGATCATATAAACTCAAAACCCTAAACGATCTCAACCGGAATGGACCAGACTATTCGCGAGTTATTTAGTGGACAAAACGTACAAGAAAATCAAAAGAAAGTGATGGCTTTTACTTCGACGCAAGAGGGATTTTTGTGGGCGATGAAAAACACAACAAATCCAGAAAAAGTCTATTCGTGGTTCAGTCTTTCCGTCTTGACGTTTTGGATCTGCCACCACCCACAAAACATCCCATTGGTACAACTCCAAAGCCTCTTGTTGGACTCCCTCCAATTTCACATCAAATCAAATAACAAAGAAGCTTCAAATAAACTTGCCGTACTGTTCTGTGCGGTCACGCGGTGGACGTTCAACGGACAAACTCTCTGCGGCGAGATAGCGAACTTCGCGAAGAATGAGGAGACCGTACAAATGGCGCTTCTGCTCTTTTCAACGTTTGCGGAAGAGTATCGAAATGTCGACAAGAAGTACCACGTCCCCTCTCAAAGGATCCAGTGGATTAAATCCACTTTTCAAACAGAGTCTGCCGATATCGTTAAATTGTTAGTGATCATTACACAGCGTGGAAAGGTCGAGGCGTTATCGGCAATGAGCAAATACATCGGGTGGGTTGATACTAAAGCTTTAATAGAAGCAGGCGTCTTCGCAACACTAACACAGACCGTATTGTTTGTTACTATCTATTTATAGTATAATCTAGTATATATTATACTATTTTAATATACTATATTATTAATTTTTATAAGTAATAGTATATTTTATTATAATATATGATATCTGACCTCGTAGAGTACAACAAATGGTCAAACCATCACTGGAATGCCTTGTAGAGTATCTCCAATCGAATAAAACACCCCTCGACCCACACTTCCATATCTCGATTGTTAGCCTTACACTGAAATTACTGACTATACCGGATATTCCACCACAACAAATACTTTACTTGTTAATTCGAACGTTTGAAATCTGCGTGCCACGAATACCTTTTGACGACACATTTTTACAAATACCAAGAAGCTTAAACGCATTTCTGCAAACGCACAAGAACGACTTCACTGTTGTGTCGACGTGTTTTGATGTGTGGGCAGCGTTCTTTGATCTTCCGATTTGTGGCTCGTTGTGTATCTCTGATGAGTTTGGACCAATTGCGGAAGACACGTGTCGGATTATTCTACCACTGTTGTTCTCTGCGAGTTATAGCGGAATCACTTTACTCGACACTTCAAAGGTGGGCGACGAACAAAGCGAATTTGAGATCTTCATATTCAACGCGTACCAAGTCTTGATGTCATTAGTCGATTTCCAAGGCCATGTTGTGTTGCCTCTTATTATCGAAATTACAAACCAAACCTTTTTACGTCTGAACGAGAAGCGCGGGGTCTTCACGGACGGTGACATTTGCGACATCTCGACGGCTTCGAAACTGTTTTTGGAAACCTCATCGAATCTTTTGGTGCACGTCGACAATTTGGAAACACTGCAAAAGATGTACACCCCACTCATCACGCTGTTGTGCGCGTTACCTAATGTACATAATGAAGACGCGAAAATCGCAGCAACAAATTTAAAGTCTGCGATTCAGACGATGTACGGTACTTTACACGAGTTGTGCAGTACCCCAACTTTACTCTTCGTCGAGCAATTGCTCACTTTGTTTATTCAGACCGTCACTCAATGCAAGGAGGATAAAGTCTGTGAGCAAGTAGTCGACCTCTATTTTGAGCTGGTACTCGCCTGCCGCCCCGAAGTCTTCAACTTGAATATAGTCAACGAGATGATGAAGGACTCGGTCACTTTTGTGCGACGATTTTGTAGTCCTGCGAGGAAGTACGTTGCAATTGGTGTTTCTGAAATATATGTGTTTCCAAACACGAACTCCAACTTCACGAAAAAGGACTTGGAGGAGCGATTTGGCGTGTTTCAGAATTTCGTGAGTGAAATAGTGGTGAAGCCGATCATCGAAATGTGTCAAACAAATCAGTTTGGGGAGTACCCGGACGTGTGTAAAATACTGAAGGGGATTGTCAAAGGCAAAGAGACTCTCAATGGGGTGAACAAGCAACTCATTGTTGGGACTTTGGGGAGACTCATTTCTGAAATATTCCCACAAGCACTCCGAGTTATGGACGCGCATAATATTCGAGTTACTCTGGTGACTATTAGAGAAATAATTCAGTACATGAGCAGTGCGTTGGACGAGCGAGGGATAGTCGAAGTCTTAACAATAATGATGGAAAGCTTTAAAGGGAAAATCCGAAGCTTTGTAGAGAGTGGTGAAAAGGAAATCAACAAGACGATGTGTCTTGTGATCTTAATAGGTGAGATTTATGTCAAAGAGTGGAGTCATAAGACGAAAGGGAAGAGTGAGGTGTACACTCAAACGGTGATGCGTTTGATGAATTTTGTTGTTGACGAAGTTTTGACGACTTTAGACGATAAAAGTATTGGGAATGAACTCTACAGAGACAGCGTGTCATTGTTCTTTAATATCTCCGAAGCTGTATTCAACGAAGTTGGGAACAAAGTTGAATTCTATGTGATGGTTGTACAACTAGTGATTAAGTTAATAGGGATGAGCGATATAGAATTGGCTAAAGAAGTCATTGAAAAGATCCAATTACTTGGAACTACTAAAAAGTTCTTTGTACAGCCCATATTCAAAGAAATGAAGGTCCAATTTGTTGTGGAATTACTTGGGATTGCTGTTGTCACACCACATTCAATAGACGATATTGTTGGATTGTTGTATTATGTCATGGATAGTGATGTGCCTTCTTTGCTGGTGTCGTTCTATAACGTACTTGATTTGTTCTTTAACAAGTACCCGAACATTAGCGTTGAAAATAAAAACGAAGTGAAAAGTTTGTTTGTGAACGCACAGGATATGCCGACGTTCACGTTTGCTATGTCTCAGTTTGTTAACGATATGCATTGTTATTTACCATAATTTGTTGTTTCGTTTTATGTTGGTTAATAAGACTCATACTCTTCCCACAACATAAAGGATACATTTTAAATGAATACAAAACATCGAAGCCACTTTTATAATAAGTTATTCAGACATATTTTTTAGTAAAAATAGAATCTATTTTTTAATACAGTCAAACCTTTCAATTCTGACACCTTTTGATTCTGACATTTTTAATTATTTATTATTAATAAAAAATACTATTGTCAAAATTTAAAGGTCCAGTAATAAGTCACAAAGATAAAACAAGGCAAAAACTAAATTATGGTAAAACCCATTTAAACGTATTCAGAAGCAGTTTTAAACACTTTTGATATAAAATTAAGAATTGTTATTTTCTCTTTTTCTGGAATTTCTGAATCCATAACTCTTTTCAAAAACGAATCGGCATCTGTATACAATTCATCTTCAAATGTAGTTACATTTCCCAATGGTGTTGTCTCTTTCGAAAATTCCAATATTTCAAGTTCATTGTTTGTTATAAAAGGTGGTATCTTTTCATCCATTCTATCTACAAATTCTTCATCTGAACTTTTCTCGATTACAACACCACTTTTACTTAGCTTTTCAATCGAACGTTGTATTTCAATGTCGTTTTCGTTGTTTTCATCAATGTAACTTTCTCGAGGTTCTCCCAACAGTGTGGTTTTATACCAACATTTGGTTACTGTTTTGTTTTCTACACTCAACCAAGCTCTGTCAATAAAAGGCAAACACTCTACAAAAGGAAGCTTCTTAGCTTTTTTGATTTCTTTCTTTGAATCAGAAGTGACATTTTTAACATTGTGTTCAACGACATTGACCAAGTGCGCAGAAATAGCTC